AATCTTCTATTGTCCAGTTTTGGTGAGCCTGTGTGAATTGTAGCCTCAGTTTCCTGTTCTTTGCTGACAGGAGTGGCACCTGGTGTGGTCTTCTGCTGCTGTAGTCCATCTACCTCAAGGTTCGACATGTTGTGTGTTCAGAGATGATCTTCTGCAGACCTCRGTTGTAACGGGTGGTTATTTGAGTYACTGTTRCCKTTCTATCAGCTCCAACCAGTCTGMCCATTCTCCTCTGACCTCTGGCATCAACAAGACATTTCCGCCCACAGAACTGCTGCTCACTGGATATTTTCTCTTTTTCAGACCATTCTCTGTAAACCCTAGAGACGGTTGTGGGTGAAAATCCCAGTAGATCAGCAGTTTATGAAATACTTAGACCAGTCYGTCTGGCACCAACAACGATGTCACGTTCAAAGTCACTTAAATCACCTTTTTCTCCCATTYTGATGCTCAGTTTGAACTGCAGCAGATCGTCTTGGTCATGTCTACATGCCTAACGCATTGAGCTGCTGCCATGTGATTGGCTGATTCGACATTTGCATTAATGAGCACTTGGACAGGTGAATATACATTAGCATTAGATTTTTTTAATGCTTTTTAAGCTCAAAAAATGAGGGGTGTGTTATTATTTATTTGTTTTACCCATTTAAAAAAAAGACCAGGAGAAAAAAGGCTGATCCGTACTGCCGAACTGATGACGTGACCTTTCCTCTTTTAGCCACAATTTCCTCCTCGAGCTGTTGCRCTCATTTTCTCCTTTCTCTCCATATCGTTCTTTTTTAGTTTTAAGCAGTTTTGAGGCACGGTGGTGAAACATGAAACGATTGCTTGTTACTTAACAGATTGTTGCTAGCTTTCCAAAGCGTTAGCTGCTTAGCCATGAGAGGTCGAGCAGCCAAAGCCTTTCTTCTAACTACATCCCCCAGAATGCCAAGAGATTCTGGATGGGAGTTCAGTGAAATTATCAACACTCTATCAAAYGTACTTTCTATTGATTGATCAGGTGTCTATTGCCATATACAGTATATTTTTCATTTATTGCCTAGCCCTACTGACAGCAATGAAACAGGCAGGTGGAGACAAAAAGCAGGACGTTAACAGTTAAATCAACAAACGTACCCAGTGGATGAGGTCGCAGCGTTCCCGTTGCCCTGGCAACATCCTCCAGGGTGGGTAGTTCAAAAGGCTCCTCCTCTGCAGGCTGATCCTCAGAAACAGGAGGTGGGGGTGCTACAAAACAGGAAACGAGGGGAAAGAGAAATTAGGCACATTGGAATAAAAGTAGAGAAGCTTGATCTCAGTGCAGGAGACGTGTCTGCGTCACCTCGTCCCCTGCAGTCCACAGCCCAGTGTCCCGTCCCTCCACACTTGTARCAGGTGTCCCCCTGTCGACTGAGCCCCCCTCTAAAACCCCCTCTCCGTCCGCGGCCCAGATATCCACCTCCTCCACCAAAACGCTCACCTTTCAGCTGGAACTTCTGCATGTACAACTGCAAGAAACAGAAACAGACTAGTTCTGAAACAGAAGCACAAAATCCTCACATGCATTGGAGTTTATCATTATTCATGTTGAACTGGAGGCATCATTTCTAAACAGGACTTTGGTTAAAAAGCACATATATTTATTTTGCATGAACACAATCACAGAAACAAACAACATACCTGTTTGCGTAAAGCCATCCCTCTTAGCGCGTATCCTTTGACGTGAGATTTTTTTTTCAGGTTTATCTTCACAAAGTTACCCCCTGCGCCTTTTGTTGTTCTGTGAAAATGAGAGAAGAATGACTCAAAACAGAAATATTTGATGCTGCGCTGCAGTGCCRGGCTGTATTTGCTCCTACCTGGCTCTGACAGGTGGTGTTTGACACATTCTTTTAGTTCTGAACTCTTCCTCTATTTCTCCAAACAAGTTCTCCTGGGGAGCCTTATTGGAGATGGCAGAATATTAAACCTTTAATAAACAAATAGCTTTATATTATATATATA